GGATAGAACTAGAGGGTTTTATGCTAAGCAAAATAAGTCAATCAGAGAAAGACAATTATCATATAATCTCACTGATATGAGGAATTTGAGAAACAAGACAGAGGATTATAGCAGAAGGGAGGGAAAAATGAAACAAGACGAAACCAGAGAGGGAGACAAACCATGAGAGACTCTTAATCTCAGGAAACAAACTGAGGGTTGCTGGAGTGGAGGGGGGTGGGAGGGATGGGGTGGCTGGGTGATGGACATTGGGGAGGGTATGTGCTATGGTGAGCGCTGTGAATTGTGTAAGACTGATGAATCCCAGACCTGTACCCCTGAAACAAGTAATACATTATATGTTAATAAAAAATAAAAAATAAAAAAAAATAAACAAGGCTTTGCTCTCCTGGAATGGATGTTCTGAAAGACAGAGGTAGACCATAAAGGAGAAGTGAGCAAACACCATATTGCACCAGTTCTTAGATGTGCATTCTTAACATTGCAATAATAAGAAAAAATCTAGAGAATGTATGCATGCTTACATACGTGTATACAAACATCATATGCTGGTATGTGTTTAGCAACCAGATCCACAAACAAGCAAGACTTTGCTTTGCAGCATTTATGGATTTCCATGGTGTAAATACTCCCACTGTGGCCGATTTTAAGCTACCTTAAGGTGATGTTACTGAACATGGTGTTGAGAACAGGTACAATAATTCAACTAAGATCAGGCACATAGACAATAGTAAAATGTAGTAAAATAAGGAGGATGTTATGAGTTTTGTTTCTATTACCTTTATTTTTAATGTAATTAATTTTAAGCTTATATAATTTAATTTTAATAACAGTTGTATTAGCAATGGGCTCACAGCAAGCCTATAAATTAAAAAATCAGATCTCTCTCTAGCATGCCATGGACACACATACACATGAATACACGTGCACATACACATGTGTGTGCACATGCACACGTGTTTTGGGAATCATGAATGTGCCCTGACTGGAGCCTCTAACTCCAATCCAGTGGTTGTTCTGGCCATCCTCCATTCTATATTTAAATTTCCCTTCTTCCTTAGTGAGAACCCTGGGTCCCCACAACAGCAATGACACATTACTCATTTGTTCAGTCCTATTATACATCTTAAAGTAGTTTTATTTTTATTTATTTTTTTAGAGAGTGAGAGAGCACACGAGTGGGGCAGGGGCACAGGGAGAGGGAGAGAGAATATTAAACAGGCTCCATGCTTAGAGCTGAGCCTGACGCAGGCCTCGATCTCACGACCCTGAGATCGTGACCTGAGCCAAAGAAATCAAGACTCAGATACTTAACTGACTGAGCCACCCAGGCATCCCTCTTAAAGTAGTTTTAAAATTGCTTCACCCACACCACTGGGGAAACACATCCACTAAGCAGAATTCAATTGTCCCCCAGTCTCCTGGCCCACTCAAGACTAAGGGTACACAGTGACATACTGGATCATCGTTACTCATATTAGTTATCCACCCTCTGTCAGTATAGTTTTTGCATTTGTTTTAAATACTTTTGGGTTTATTTATTTTAGTGTGTATTGTGTTCTAGGTTTTCTTTCCTCCATCCCATCCTTGCTGATTTAGAATTATTTCTTTTTTTTTTTTTTTAAAGATTTTTATTTATTTGTCAGAGAGAGATAGCATAAGCAGGGGGAGCAGCAGAGGGAGAGGGAGAAGCAGGCTCCTCACTGAGCAAGGAGCCCCATGTGGGACTCGATCCCAGGACCCTGGGATCATGACCTGAGCCGAAGGCAGATGCTTAACGACTGAGCCATCCAGGTGTCCCTAGAATTATTTCTTAAAGACATAGAAATAAACTTGCTTCTTAAGGTCAAATCTATGTCAGTGGTCTACTCAGAGAAGTGACATTCACTCCTGGACTCCCTCCACCTTGTTTTCCCTCCCTCAACTTCAGCTTTCTCTGCTTTGATCCTTCCTGTGGTTCTTTCTACAAAGATAGGCAGATACACAGTTGTTTCTTACTTCCTCTTCTTTTTTACACAAAAGATAGACTTTGTGCACATTGCTTTCATCATTTGACATTATTTCCTGGAGATCACTTCACATCAATCCTAAAGCTTCCTGTCTTTTTTCAGGTTCATAGTACTCCATTGTGTGTATATGTTACAGTTTATTCACCCCACATCTATATTTGGGCACTTAAGTAGTTTCCAATATTTTAAATTACCAGTAAAACAGTAAGACCATGTACATGTGTATTTTCATGCTGTTGGAAGTGTATGTTTGGGTGAATTTTCAGGTATGGGGTTGCTGGGTTGATGGAGAAATGCTCTCTACTTGGGTTGCTTGTTAGGTATTGCAAAATCCCCTCTTGGAACTATGTCGTTTTGCATCCCCTCCAGCATTGAATGAGGGTATCTGTTCCCCCCATCGTCTATCCTATTTCTATTCTTAAAGTGAAATATTAAAAAAGAATAAAGATTGGATTTGAAATCTGGGAGTGTTGGACTTGAGCCAAACCCTTGATTTTTATCACCTGTATGAGTTTAGGGAATCCTCATATGCAAGCCTCAGTTTCCTTATCTAGAAAGTCGAGATGGTGTTTGCAGGACGAAGGCAAGGGTGCAAAACTTTCAGTCCTGAGAAGTGGACAAACAGTGCTTGCTTATACTGTGCTTTTATTTGCTTTACACTAATCTTGATTAAGATAAGGTTCAAAAACAAGAATTCTGGCAACTCAAGATTCCAAGTAGATAGGAATCTCCTTGTGGTTTTACTGAATGTGGACTGTAGAGCTGCCAGATAAAATCCAAGACACAGTTAAATTCAAATTTCAGATAAACAGTGGATAATTTTTTAGCATACATGTGCCTCAAATACTGCATAGAACATACTTACACTAAAAATCTATACCTTTTTTTATTTAACCTGAAATTCAACTGGGCAGTCTGTATTTTCATTTGTTAAATCCAGTGACCCTGGAGGGGGGTGCAGGAAAAGTAAGGAAGATTTTTAAGTGAAATGTCATGTCTTTGGTCCAAGATGGTGAAAAGTAAAAATTCAATGTCCATTGGTGGATGACTGGATAAACAAAATGTGGTATATACATACAAAAGAATATTATTCAACTTTAAAAAGGAATGAAATTTGGAAATATGCTACCCCATGGATGAATCTTGAAGATATTATGTTAAGTGAAAGAAGCCAGACACAAAAAGGCAAATATTGTATGATTCCACTTACGCGTGGTGCTCGGAATAGTCAATTTCACAGAGACTGAAAGTAGAGTAATGGTTGCGAGGAGCTGGGGGGTGGGGGATGGAGAGGTGGTGTTGAATGGGTATGCAGTTTCATTTTGGGATGATAAGAGTCCTGGAGATGGATGGTAGCATCAGTTGTACAACAAGGTAAATGTACTTAATGTCACGGGACTGCACACTTAGAAATGACTAAAATGGTAAATTTTATGTTAGGTCTATTTTACCGTAATAAAAAAATAATTCAGAGGCGAGTTACTTCCCTTCCCTGGTTCTCAGTTTTCTCATCCACAAAATGGGCCACTAGACCAGTGAGGAAAGGTTGGAATGGGAGTGTTCTGACCTGCTTCAGCGTCACCCATGGCCTTGTTGAAACTATGAACTCCTCCTGCACCCCACTCTTGCAACTGGGCTTCTAATTCTGTAGGATTCTGATATGATCAGGGAACCTGTCATTTTAATGAGCATCTCAGGTGCATTCTAAGCAGCAGGAAAGTCTCATTCACCAGAAGAATCTAGATACTTTACCGAGGACTTCAGGAGCTGAAATAATTAATGGATCTCACTGAATTCTTGTATTCACACTGAGCTTTTCCTCTGAAAGAAATATTTTTCGATGTTTTTGAAAAAAGTTCAAAGCCATTGGAATTCAACCCAAACAGAAAGTCAAAAGGCTTAAATAAAATATGTCTAGGTTGATTTCCTGCCCCGGCAAAGATTGTTACTAATCCGTTTTTTTCTTCTTTATCTTTCAACTTCCCTTTCGTATACTTTGCATATTTTCCCCCTGAAGTTTTCAGCTGTAACTTTGAACTTAGCTCTTTGAGAAACACTGCCACACACAATATTGATCTTTGTCTTATTTGTCCCTTTTATCAGAGAAAGAATGTAATTTCCAACTAGGTGTTAATCTGTAGATTAAAGAGGATTTCAAAATGTCTTTAGAGAAAGGGTCTAGCATATTCATTACTGGAAGAAAGAACAACAAATTTGCAGATTTTTAAAAGTCACTTTTCAAAAAAACCCATGGCTGCCTGCATTTTAGAACTCCAAAGTTGTCTCACTGGTTTGTATTAAAACACTTAATAAAAAGCACTACTGTATGGGTTTCCATGGCCCCAAATGGATAATCAAAGCAAGCTGCCCCAACCTATAAGGGCTTCCTTCCTTGGTTTACAGGACATAATGTCTGTCCTGCCTGGTCTATAAATAAGGCTAATGAGGTCAGCCTGGAAGTAGAAATTCCAAAAGTGCTGCTAATTCTCTCATCCATCACTGCAAAATCAGGAAAACCCATTTATTAAGAGCTTAAATGACTCTGGGAAAAGAAGCATATGATATAATTGTTTATACTAGTCAGTGTATATAAAATAAATTTTTCTCAAGGGCGGGTGGAGAGGAAGCTGGAGAATGTTTGTATTGGGTTTGGAGACAGATTTTGCTTAAGTTCTGGCTCTGCCTTTAATAACCGTGTTATTTTAATAAGACTACTTGACTTCTTTGTAAAACATAGGTAATAGTCCCTACAAGTTCGCTTTGCGGCTGGTGCTGGAGGTACAGGAGGTAGGTCATGATTCCCTACAAAAATAATAAAGACAGTAAGAAGAACAAAAACTATTATTTATAATAGCAGCGCCTTCCACACGCCTCTACTCTGTGCTAGGTGCTGTTTGAAGCGCTTCACATTTAATAATTGAATTTTCCTCAAGACTGTGCGAGGACAGTTCAGCTCTTAACTACTGTCTCACAGGTAAAGAAAGAGGCACACTATGAAGATGAAGCATGCTGCTAGAATGGGAGTTCCCTGAGGGTAAGGACTTTTGTTCTTGTTCTGTTCTCTTCACTGCTGTGTCCAGAATCCTTAGAATAGCTCCTAGTAGAGGCTTCATGAAGCTCACTGAACAAATGCATGCTTAAACATAGAATGGAGGACTTGTCTGACATTAGGTGCTCAATCATTGGCTAGCCCCATCCACCCCCATATCTGCTGTGCTCTGGTCATCAGGTATTTACTGAGCGGTTACTGTATGCCATGCATAGAGCTAAGTGTTTTGCCTTTATTACTTCATTTAGCTATCACTATAACTCTGTACAGTGCTACTATTATTTCTCTCATTTTTTGTATGTGGCCACTGAAGCCCAGACGGATTCTTACTCACCCAAGATCACGCTCTTGATGAGAAGCATAGCCAAGATGTAAAATCAGGTCTGTCTGACTCCAGAGTTCATGTCCTCTATCACCATGTGGGAATTCTATACAAAGTTCTTATCTTTGAGATTTAAAAAAGAAACCAGAACTTGACAGAGACAAGCACAGCTAAGCATTTATGGGAGAAAGTATTTAGCTATTTTTCAATTTTATAGCAGCATATTGTCCTTCCATTTCTTTTTGCAGCTCTGCTCTGATTTCAGCCCACTGTGCAAAGCCCTCCAATGACTAAACATGGTCCCTCGCATGACATCTAAAATCCTTGGCATGGTATTCCAGGCTCTTCACAAGGTACAGCTTACTGGCACGTTGTCGGTGGTCAATAGATATTTGTTGCATGAGTGGACACATTTGCGCAGTGACCTGATTTCTCATAGTTTCCTCACATGCAACCACAGTGAAGTTATGTCTGCTTCAAAGTATTGCATTCACTTTGCATACCTCAGGGTGACCTGAACACGTCCTTGGGAATAGCAGGCTTTTATTAGCATTTGTTGAAAGAATGAAAAATTTATAAACTCTCAGTGCTCAAATGTCTTCTGATAGCAATCAAATTCATTCATTCATTCATTTATTTGGTATTTATTGAAACAATATATTTCAAATTCTATGCTTCATAGTAGAAATAAAGGGATGAATAAAATATTATCCTTGTAATCTACTTATTTAGTGCTATTGTGAGGAAGTGTTAATTAAATAATAAATTTTTTAAAAACCTGCAAAACTGAACTTAAAAAAAACAAAACCTTTTATTTTTTTATTTTATTTTATTTTTTAATTTAATTTTACTTTTTTATATATTTTTTAATTTTATTATGTTATGTTAGTCACCATACAATATATCATTGGTTTTTGATGTGGTGATCCACGATCCATTGTTTTCGTATAAGACCCAGTGCTCCATGCAGTACGTGCCCTCCTTAATACCCATCACCGGGCTAACCAATCACCCCTCCCCCCTCCCCTCTAAAACCCTGTTTGTTTCTCAGAGTCCATAGTCTCTCATGGTTCATCTCTCCCTTCAATTCCCACCCCCCCATTTTTCCCTTCCTTCTCCTAATGTCCTCCATGCTATTCCTTATGTTCCACAAATAAGTGAAACCATATGATAATTGACTTTCTCTGCTTGACTTATTTCACTTAGCATAATCTCCTCCAGTCCCATCCATGTTGATGTAAAAGTTGGGTATTCATCTTTTCTGATGACTGAGTAATATTCCATTGTATATATGGACCACATCTTCTTTATCCATTCATCTGTTGAAGGGCATCTCGGCTCTTTCCACAGTTTGGCTATTGCAGACATTGCTGCTATGAACACTGGGGTGCATATGCCCCTTCTTTTCACTACATCTGTGTCTTTGGGGTAAATGCCCAGTAGTGCAATTGCTGGGTCATAGGGTAGCTCTATTTTTAACTTTTTGAGGAACCTCCACACTGTTTTCCAAAGTGACTCTACCAACTTGCATTCCCACCAACAGTGTAAGAGGGTTCCCCTTTCTCCACAACCTCTCCAACATTTGTTGTTTCTTTCCCTGTCCATTTTTGCCATTCTAACTGGTGTAAGGTGGTATCTCAATGTGGTTTTGATTTGGATTTCCCTGATGGCTAATGATGATGAACATTTTTTCATGTGTCTGTTAGCCATTTGTATGTCTTCTTCAGAGAAGTAAGTGTCTTTTCATCTCTTCTGCCCACTTTTTGACTTGATTATTTGTTTTTTGGGTGTTGAGTGTGAGAAGTTCTTTATAGATCTTGGACACCAGCCCTTTTCTATAGTGTCATTTGCAAATATCTTCTCCCATTCTGTGGGTTGCCTCTTTGTTTTGTTGACTGTTTCCTTTGCTGTGCAGAAGCATTTTATCTTGATGAAGTCCCAAAAGTTCATTTTTGCTTTTGTTTCACTAGCTTTTGGAGATGTATCTTGAAAGAAGTTGCTGTGGCCGATGTCAAAGAGGTTACTGCCTATGTTCTCCTCTAGGATTTTGATGGATTCTTGTCTCACATTGAGGTCTTTCATCCACTTTGAGTTTATCTTTGTGAATGGTGTTAGAGAATGGTCGAGTTTCATTCTTCTGCATGTGGCTGTCCAATTTTCCCAGCACCATTTATTGAAGAGACTGTCTTTTTTTCCATTGCATGTTTTTTCCTGCTTTGTCAAAGATTTGACCATAGAGTTGAGAGTCCATATCTGGGTTCTCTATTCTGTTCCATTGGTCTGTATGTCTGTTTTTGTGCCAGGACCATGCTGTCTTGGTGATCACAGCTTTGTAATATAGCTTGAAATTGGGCAACGTGATGCCCCCAGCTTTGTTTTTCTTTTTCAACATTTCCTTGGTGATTTGGGGTCTTTTCTGATTCCATACAAATTTGAGGATTGTTTGTTCCAGCACTTTGAAAAATGTCATTGGAATTTTGATCGGGATGGCATTGAAGGTATAGATTGCTCTGGGTAGCATAGACATTTTAACAATGTTTATTCTTCCGATCCATGAGCATGGAATATTTTTCCATCTTTTTGTGTCTTCTTCAATTTCTTTCATGAGTGTTTTGTAGTTCCTAGAGTATAGATCCTTTACCTCTTTGGTTAGGTTTATTCCAAGGTATCTTATGGTTTTTGGTGCTATTGTAAATGGAATCGTTTCTCTAATTTCTCTTTCTACAGTTGCGTTGTTAGTGTATAAGAAAGCAAATGAGGGCGCCTGGATGGCTCAGTTGGTTAAGCGACTGCTTTCGGCTCAGGTCATGATCCTGGAGTCCCTGGATCGAGTCCCGCATCGGGCTCCCTGCTCGGCAGGGAGCCTGCTTCTCCCTCTGACCCTCCCCCCTCTCATGTTCTCTCTCTCTCTCTCATTCTCTCTGTCTCAAATAAATAAATAAAATCTTTAAAAAAAAGAAAAGAAAAAAAAAGAAAGCAAATGATTTCTGTGCATTGATTTTGTATCCTGCCACATTACTGAATTGCTGGATGAGTTCTAGTAATTTGGGGGTGGAGTCTTTTGGGTTTTCCACATAAAGTATCATGTCATCTGCGAAAAGAGAGTTTGGCTTCTTCTTTGCCAATTTGAATACCTTTTATTTCTTTTTGTTGTCTGATTGCTGTTGCTAGGACTTCTAGTACTATGTTGAATAATAGTGGCGAGAGTGGGCATCCTTGACGTGCTCCTGATCTTAAGGGAAAGGCTCTCATCTTTTCCCCATTGAGGATAATATTCTCTGTGGGTTTTTCATAGATGGATTTTATGAACTTGAGGAATGTTCCCTCTATCCCTATACTCTGGAGAGTTTTAATCAGGAAAGGATGTTGTATTTTGTCAAATGCTTTTTCTGCATCAATTGAGAGGACCATATGGTTCTTCTCTCTCCTCTTGTTAATGTGTTCTATCACATTGATTGATTTGTGAATGTTGAACCACGCTTGCATCCCGGGGATAAATCCCACTTGGTCGTGGTGGATGATCCTTTTAATGTATTGTTGGATCCTATTAGCTAGGACTTTTTTGAGGATTTTGGAATCCATATTCATCAGGGATATCGGTCTGAAATTCTCCTTTTTGATGGAGTCTTTGCCTGGTTTGGGGATTAAGGTAATGCTGGCCTCATAGAGTGAGTTTGGAAGTTTTCCTTCTGTTTCTATTTTTTGAAACAGCTTCAGTAGAATAGGTATTATTTCTTCTTTGAATGTTTGGTAGAATTCCCCAGGGAATCCATCAGGCCCTGGACTCTTGTTTTTTGGGAGGTTTTTGATCACTGCTTCTATCTCGTTCCTGGTTATTTGCCTATTCAGGTTGTCAATTTCTTCCTGTTTCAGTCTTGGCAGCTTATAGGTTTCCAGGAAGGCCTCCATTTCATCCAGATTGTTTAGTTTATTGGCATATAGTTGTTGATAATAATTTCTAATAATTGTTTCTATTTCCTTGGTGTTAGTCGTGATCTCTGCCCTTTCATTCATAATTTTATTAATTTGGGTCCTTTCTCTTTTCTTTTGGATAAGTCTGGCCAGTGGTTTATCAATCTTATTAATTCTTTCAAAGAACCAACTTCTAGTTTCATTGATCTGATCTACTGTGTTTCTGGTTTCTAATTCACTGATTTCTGCTCTAATTTTAATTATTTCTCTTCTAATGCATGGCTTAGGCATCATTTGTTGCTTTTTCTCTAGTTCTTTAAGGTGTAGACTTAGTTGGTGAATTCGGGATTTTTCTATTTTTTTTGAGTGAGGCTTGGATGGCTATGTATTTCCCCCTTAGGACCGCCTTTGCAGTATCCCATAGGTTTTGGACCGATGTGTTGTCGTTCTCATTGATTTCCATGAATTGTTTAAGTTCTTCTTTGATTTCCTGGTTGACCCAAACATTCTTGAGCAGAGTAGTCTTTAGCTTCCACGTGTTTGAATTTCTGCCAAATTTTTTCTTGTGATTGAGTTCCAGTTTTAGAGCATTGTGGTCTGAGAATATGCAGGGAATAATCTCAATCTTTTGGTATCAGTTGAGACCTGACTTGTGACCCAGTATGTGGTCTATTCTGGAGAAAGTTCCATGTGTGCTCAAGAAGAATGAGTATTCTGTTGTTTTAGGGTGGAATGTTCTGTAAATATCTAT